TTCCAGTTTTGCTGAAATCAGGTTTTCAAAAAGGTGAAGGCTCAGAGTGACATCAATTTTCGTGCATTAACTTCCAGAACATCTTCTACAAGGCTGGGTCCGAACTGCACCGGCAATGTTGCCATCCAAGCTGTATCGGCTGGACAGCAACACGGTTCTGCGCGGATGATGGATATTCGCATTCCACCTCTCTTGCCGGCTACAGAACTGAAAGCCTGAACAAAGCTTCTCCTACTTGGCCATCCCATCCAGCGAAGCTGGCGGCAACCTTGAAGCCGCCAACTGCACGGACCTAGACGACCTCGATTCTCAACAACAGCCTTCCGTAGTATGATTCTGAAGATACGTAGCAATTTTGCAACAACAATATTGTTCGCCATTCGGGCTGTCGCATCGCGCCGGCTCCTTGACCTAGACAATGTCATCCCGCTGCAGACACGGCACAGCACTGCCAGACTGCACGTCATCATGGCTTCAGGAACTGATCTACACGGTTTCAATTTGGTATCGCAAGCTGACTGCAGTGATCAGTTGGGGACTATCTGTCCTTGCAGCTTTGCACCCTTGGTGCAACCTAGAACGCGTCACTTTCGTCGAACTGCATGCATCCACAGCAGCGGTACTCGAAGCCACACACGCACAAACAAACATGGAACCTAAGTATCGCAGTCCCATGACCACAAATGACCGGGCATGCTGCATGGCACAAGCAACACTTGGACACACTCTTCCTTTACAATCTCTGAAAGTAGTTTACATACCGAAATCCAAATACGAGGAGGAGTGAGTTCACATCTCGCTGATCTTATTATCTGAACAGGAGGGTGCTGCAAGCATGGTGTGCAAAGCAATCACGTCACGTCAGGTCGCGGGGATTTGCGCCTGGTCATACCAAGCCTTTCTTCTCATGATCTCAGCTGCCACTGTCCTGAGGCCTGAGTCTGCGCGACGTGAGGATTCTGAATACTCAGTATACTATGTCTAGAGTAGCACCAAGCTAGAATGTTTTCATACAGTTCGCTGCACAAGCTCTGGGGCCTGACTGGGGAAACCGTGTCCCTTCGGGATCGTGGAAATTCCCCTCTGGCGCAATGAGGCAGCACGTGAAACCTTCTTGGCGTCTCAATCACTGCCGGCTCCTTCCTCTGGAGTACTGCGTCGCCTGCGCTTGGCCAAGCTGCCACAGGTCAAGACAAAACCCCCGCTAAATCACGAAAAACGCGCCTGTGCAGAAGCTCAGTGTCTCGAAACCAGGAGCCGAACGTCAAAAGCAGAAATATTGCTAAAGCAGGAAAAAGGCCGCCTGTGCTTTGTTCCTTGCAGTGATTTCCTCGATGCGCTCCACGGCCTCGGAGCAGGTCCAGGGTGACAAGAAACAAGGCTGCAGGGGTTTAGGGTTTAGAGCCTTAGGGTGTGCGAAGTCCTGGGATGCTTGCACCATGTGACACCCGAGTGTCAATAGACGCAGGGCAATACAAGAATGAGTTCGCGGCTTCTTAGGTGACAGACAAGGGGGAATAAACTTGAGAAGTAGCTACGAGTCTATGTAACAGGCGATTGCATCACCAGGCTCCGGGCCTTGGTGCCCTCGACGCCAATGTCGTTGCCGCTGAGGTAGATGTCAGTGACGGTCGCGTTCTTCTCAAGGGCCGCAGCCAGGGCCTGGAAAAAGGGATGCCGTGCCCAGGCGAACAAGCACCGAAAGCTCTGGGCCTCGGCACCCTCGACACCAATCTCGTTTATCGAGAGGTAGAGGTGAGTGACGGTCACGTTCTTCTCAAGGGCCGCAGCCAGGGCCTGGAAAAGGGGATGCCGTGCCTAGGCGAACAAGCACCGGAAGCTCTGGGCCTTGGCGCCCTCGACACCAATGTTGTTGTTCCGGAGGTCGAGGTGAGTGACGGTCGAATTCTTCTCAAGGGCCGCAGCCAGGGCGTGGGAAAAGGGGATGCCGTGCCCAGGCGAACAAGCACCGAAAGGTCCGGGCCTTGGCGCCCTCGACACCAATGGAGTTCAACTCAAGGCCGAGGTGAGCGACGGTCGCGTTCTTCTCGAGGGCCGCAGCCAGGGCCTGGGAAAAGGGGATGCCGTGCTCAGGCGAACAAGCACCGGAAGCTCCGGGCCTTGGCGCCCTCATCACCAATGGAGTTCACAGCAAGGCCGAGGTGAGCGACGGTCGCGTTCTTCTCGAGGGCCGCAGCCAGGGCCTGGACAAGGGGATGCCGTGCTCAGGCGAACAAGCACCGGAAGCTCCGGGCCTTGGCGCCCTCGACACCAAGGAACTCATTGAAACCAGACCTCTCGATGGTGAGGAGAGTCTTGCTGAGGCGAACCACTTCTCCGACAGCCAGGGGACTGAGGCCCTTCAGATCCCTTTGGGACAAAGTCGTTGCAGTCAGGAGCTCGGGGTTGATGCCCCTGCGCGCTTTGGCCAGGGCTGCTTCTCGCAGCTCTTCCTCTGCGTCCAAGACGGTTTGCAGCAGAGATGTTTGCAGTGGGACGTTGCCGGATGCGAAGGCACCGGCCAGGCGCTTCCCTGTGGAGCGCATGGTCCACCGGCCAAGCTGCTCGTTGCCTAACCAGCCCAAGGCTGTTTGGAGGAGTGGCACTGCCAGCTGCATCAAGGGGACAAACTTCGATCCACCTTCGATAAAGACATAGAGCAGGGCAAAGACACCCTGAGGCCCGGCTTCCCAAAGCAGAAGCCTGATCTTGCCCGGCGTTGTTTGCTTGTAGAGCTCGTGCAGGCATTTTTCTACCTTCGGCCAGCAGCACCCTTCACCCTGTGCAGCCTCAGCTTCATCGTCCACTGGCTGCGCGCTGGCAAAGGGGAAGTAGCTGCCCGACAGGTCTGCGGCGCAGTCAGTGTCATCAAGCAGCCTGTAGTGTACCCACGGCAGCCAAGCGAGGCTGGCAAATCCGGTCAGACGCAACGCCCAGCTTTCCGACAGCATGCATAGCCCAGCGAAGACCACATCCTTCAATGTGTCGAAGGTGTCTGCCAGGAAGGGCATGGTGGCCGCCACGGTGCCCAAGGCAAAGGTGTCCATCGGGAAGCGGCTCCCGGGGCTCAAGCTCCTGGTGGCCGCTACAGCCTGCCAGAGCAACCTCGTGCCCTGCAGGAGAAAAAAGACCAGGTAGACCTCGAAGTCCAGTCCCGTCGCTTTCGACAGCCTGTTGGAGAAAAGGCTCGCAAAGACCGCCACGAGCGAAATGAGGTAGGTGCCAAGGAATGCAAGCCACACATCTCCACTGTTCAGCGGCCGAGGCAGCAGAGGCTCGTCCGAGTCATCCGAATCAGTCGAGGCGCCCCTTTGGTACCCTGACCTTTCCAGCGGCTGAGGCCCGCCCAAAGCCATCCTTTCGTACCCTGACGGGTCTGTGCATCTGCCGCAGCAGCGCGTCATGATCGCAGTGCCGATGAGGCAAAGCAGCATCCAGGCGAGGATGTGCGCTGAGACGAAGAAGCCCAGCCGTTGCCTTGCTTGCTCTGGAGACAGCTCCTGGATCTGCTCCTTGTCGGGGAGCCACGCTGGGTTCTCCGCGAGCGCCGTCGGGGGCCGAGCCTTCAGAGCCACGTGGCCTCCGACGGCGAAGTCGAGCGCCACGGCCCGGCCCTGCAGCGAGGCAGAGGCGTTGGCCACCGGCATCCGGAAGTCCACGGCCTCGGCCACGTCCTCCACCACATCTGGAAGGACCAAGGCACGAGCCGTCACCAGAAGCAACAGCAAAGACAAAGACACCATGGCTGCGGCCACAGAAACTGGCGAGCCTCACATGGCCTTTGGAGTCTCACATCCGGCAGAGTCGGCAGGCCCTACGTCGCAACTGACGGCAACCCAAGGCTTCAGCGGACCGCTTCCAGGTGTCATCGTCCCTGAGCGCTGAAGGCACATCTGTTTTTGCTGGCGAAAGCACTTGGCAGCCATTGGCGCCCTCTCGTTCCTCCAAATAAGCAGTTGTGATCGCCCGAATCTCCCCGTGCAGGGCTAAAAGAGACATCTTCCTCATCGTACTCATACTCCCCAAGCCCTCCACCCTAAACCCCAGATACGAAGAAACCCCACAGACCCTGAAGAAACCCCAGAACCCCGTTCTTGTTTAGCAACCTCCATCGGGCTCGAAGGCCCCGAATCTCCACCAAGGCGCCGAAATCCAAATCTCGAAGATATGCCCCAAACCCTGAACACCAAACCGGAACGACTGTCACCTTTGTGACCAGCCCACGGGCTCAGAATCACCCGAGAAAGCTCCACAGCATTGTGCGAACAAGAGCCCTTGAAAAGGGATCCGTAAAGAAAGTATTTCTATTATTCGGTTTTCTGGGCAGAAAGCAATACAAAGCAAGGGATGTCTTGGGGCTGGCCGCGGCTCTACCTTTGTAGGGAGACGGACCGCAACCGCGGAACCAAAATCCGAGACCTCTTCGAGGTGTCGGCACAGCTAAAGCTCTAAGTGGCTTTTGATGGCGACCAGAGGAAAGAGGGAAGCAAACCAACTACTCTGCATACTATAGCTTCATGCCAGTCACTTTGGACGAATGTAGGTTGGGAGCAGAATGTACCACAAATCTAGAGGGACTGCAACCAGGAGCGGTGCAAAGTGTTGACGTTGAAGCTACTGTGTTAACTGTGTTAGATCAGTATAGGAGTTTACTTACATCATGCAAATGACTTCAGACCCCACGTTTCTCCAGTTTCTCTTCTGGTAACTCTTGTCCGGAAGCCAGGATACCTGCTTGCGTCCATCACGAAAATCTGGGGAAAGCCAGCCCGGGAGGGCTTCCTAGTTCAGTAGTTCAGATGCCTTGAACACAAACAATCTGCTGGACCTCTCCGCCCTCAAGGCCACAGAGGAAAAGAGCCCTTTGCGAGGGCCGCGCTTCTCGACCTCGCAGAGAACGGAAACACACGAAGCCAATGAAGACCTCCAAAACAAAAAGAAATGAAAGAATCCGAGGACCCAAGCTGCGAGGACAAGTTAAATCCAAAGTTTCGAAACGCCGGGCATGGCATGGCCCGGGAATCGCACCCGAGCGACGCGCCGCGTGACGTCTGCTGGCTCAGGGGCGCTCACTTGGAGGCCTGCTGCTTCCCAGCTTGCTGGGCCCATTGGCCCTGTTTTCCCTGGCCGTGCTGACCTTGCTGGCCCTGTTGGCCCTGTTTTCCTTGCTGACCCTGGCCCTGCTGTCCGCGTTGCCCCTGCTGGCCGTGTTGACCCTGCTGACCTTGCTGGCCCTGCTGGGCGTGCTGGCCCTGCTGGCCCTGTTGGACCGCCTGCAAGTCTGAAGGTCCTCAGTCGACGTGGCGGTGCAAGTGCTACAACCCCCAACACTTCAACTTCATCTCAGCCCGAAGCTAACCCTTGAAGCCCGAGATCTCTTCAACCGAAGGCCCCTGGCCCCGAAGAAACTTCCGTCGAGCCACGGCAGGGCGGAGCGATGCGACGAAGCCTGGGGTTTTGGGAGGCGGAGGGAGTTTTTGGGGAGGGCCTTCTACGGCTCATTTGGGGTCCGTAGGCTTGAAGCGCAAGGGTGGCTTACAGATCTTGGGGTTTACTCTTGAAATACTTGAAGGATTTTGAGGCTCCTGGGTGGCTGGCTATGGAGCCTGCAAGGGGCGGTGCTTCAATGGTGCTGGGGCGACTTTTCCTGGGATCTGCCGTGCAGGTCTGTGCGGCTGCGAGTCATGAAAGCCAGAGCCCTCGAATGCCGCTGAAGTAAAACCTGGTGCTGTCCGCGCAGCTTCTTCCATGCATCTGCCGTCATGCCACGCTCCTGTTGTCGCAAGCGAAAGGGCTCTGTCCATGGTCACTGACACAAGAAAGCTTTGGGATTTGTTGTCTGGGGAGAGGGTCCGAATGGAAGCGATTCAGACCTCATAGGGGCATGGACAAGGCCCAGGCTGACGGTCTGTCACAATATGTAAACTTGTGCGACCCCCGGAAAGCCGCGTAAAGACCCTGTACAAACAGGCAGCTCCTATGCTCAACCACTCGAACCCAATGGCAACAACGATTGAAACCCTCGGAACCCCGTCGAAAGACCTCCTCTAAACCCCAACAAAACACGCTCTTCGAGCCCTGGCAAGCTGTGCCTTCAGCATGCAGACCGGATCACTGGACTCCGGCTTGGGCACGCGGCCCTCGGTCTCCTTGAACCACCTCAGGAGCTTTAGCTCAGGGTGTAGACTTTGAGGTTGGTGCTTTAGGATTTGGGGGCAGAAGCACATAGGAAAGTAGGGAGTGCTGTTGCTGGTTCTTCGAGCCCATTATTGGTGAACTGGTCTGATTGGGGTTAGGCATTCCATGCGATTAACGAAAGCTGCAAGGTCTCATGGGGGGTCTGAGTGGACGAGTCTCAAGCTCTGCCGTCTGCAACAGCCTCAACAACTCAGCTTCAGGGCTTACGGGTGACGTTTAGCCTTTCAAGGCTTGGGTGTTTTGGCTTGACGGCTGGAGACTCAACGATTCCATTCCCACGAAAGCTCCCCCAAGCTGCCGGCCCTCAAATGTCGGCAACCCCCCCGGGCACTCGTCTGACTGTCAAATCCTTTAACCAACTCCACTCCATGCCTGACTCATCTCTCCTGATCTCTGTTAGATCAACATCCCGCAAGCAAAACTTTCAACTGTAGACCCTACTGCATGCAAGCCGAACGTCTTGTCCATGTCGTCCTTGACCAAGGACTTGGCATCAATGCAGGAGGTCGGCATGTCACCCTGCCAGGTGGGCGGTAGCCGCAAAATTTGGCAACCTTACCCTCAACCCGCAGCTCTACGCATGGCTTCCTTTTGCTCTCTTTTTCTACGAGAATTCAATTGGGGGCTTCCGAATCCCCTAGTTGAAGGCCCGAAGCCGAGAAAATCGACGGATCGGAGCCCTCGAACCCCACAACTCTGAACCTGCCAAAATGGAAAACACCGCCCCAAAATGAAAGCCTCGACACGGCAAGGCGTCCACTAAGTCAGATGAAGCCGATAATGAGATCAGTCCATTCAGTAGGCTATTCACAGAAACATGGGAATCCCTAGACGGGGGGGGCGGCTGTCCCAAGTCAAGGCCCTACTTGCAACCGACGAGCTCAATCCTTTGAAGTAGGAAGTAGGAAGTAGGGTGGAGGACTCTCGGGTTCAGGGAGTTCTGGGACGTTAGGACATTAGGGTTTAGGGTTCAAAATTTTGGAGTTTGGGACGCAGGCTTGCGAGGCTCAGGGCGCAAAGAAGCTGAGACTTTGAAGTTTGGGACGCAGGTGTGCAGTTGGGCCTCGGGCCTAGAGTCTGGTGCTTGGGGATCAAAATGAGCCTTACACCTTTTAAGCGTGTTCCCTCAACCCTACACCCGAAGATCCAAGAACCCCCTATATAGTCCACCCTCCAACGCGGGAGGGCGCTTCCAGCTGACTGCAGGAAAGGTTCCAGGGTCACTTTGCCATCGTTGTCTTCGTCGATCACCCCAAACAACTTCCCTGAGCGCAGTGAAGACGAGGGGGATTCGGGCGAAGGTATGCGGTGCATGTTCCCAGACATGATTCTTTTAGTTACATTAAGTTGAGGGCACTTGGCTGAGAAGAGGCGCTTCGCAGAGCGTCTCCACTTCGCAAAAATTGGAAGGGGGGTGCTTTACATGGTCTCCTGAACAGAGCGTCTCTCAATGATCTCTGTTGTTGATCTCGAGAACCTGCAGGTGCCATCAGCGTCTGGGTTGGCTTCGGCATTTACGGTTGCTGTATCACTTCGAGTCTGGGCAGAGAAGGGATTAGCACTTCGGCTCTGGACGGTGCAGGCGGTGTAGGATCTGCTTAAATATCTTCAAGACGCGGCCCGCATGCGATGTCAGATCGCCCTGGATCGGGCCCGAACCCAAAGACCCCCCAGAACCCTACAGCATTACATCACTACTACAGGGTGCACCATGTAGCAGTTCGTACTCTGCCCGCCTTCGTGCCCAAATTCGGGTGGAAGAACAGGACCAGCTCAGATTGCGACAAGACCTGATGCTGCGATGTTCTACTCGGCAGGAGAGCGGAACCAGAAATATCAGGTGAGTGGTGAAAATGGGGGAACCCGTCCACCTCCCACTCTGGAGTTTTTTTTGCTTGAGAAAACTCTTTCGCCTAGTCGAAGACCTACCCCAAAAGGCCTTGGAAAACATTAGAAGCCTGTATGCCTCAGTACCTGCTTCGAGTTGCGGAGGCCCACATTAAGGAGATGCTTCTGCTCCGGATCGCATCTCGAAATCACCGGCATGCCCAGGCCCGGACCCGAAATCTTTGGAGAATCACGGGGCGCGGGGTAAAACTCTGACCACCAAGAAATATTTCACGGTTTGGGGTTAAGTGTAACGGCTCAAGGCTTAGGGTTTGGGGTATAGGGCTCGCGGTTTAGGGTTTCGAGGTTTCTGCCAAACAAATTCCGAAAACCCTACTGCAAACCGACAAAGCCCCCTTTGCCCGTGCACGTCTCCGCCAAGCTTCAAAAAAAAACATGAATCAACCTGGACTGCCCTACACCTTCAACCCACGAAAAGCGTCCCACTGCATGCTAAACCCTTTTCCCGACTGCCGAAACCTGAACGATGAACCCCCAAACATAGGGGTCTTCGGAGTTAGCCTAGGGGTTGTGGAGTGTCATTATATGGTGACCACTATATACGCACTGCATGGGGATGCTACAGCTAAAGTATTCAAGAAATCTGCCCTAAGCCCGTAGAAATGAACCCTAAACCTGCCGCTTCTGCAGCCAGAGC